TCAAACTCTGAACTAGAGAGAAGTCCAAAGTGTCCTTGGCACAGACCAAGGTGAGAACCGAAGGTCTTTTTTTTTTCTATTTCTTTTCTGATGAGAGTCTTTGGAGTTTGTTATTGTGTTTTTTGGGGGGAAAGGGAGGAGTTGGGAATCTTTATGGGCAAATGGGGGTAACAACTGCAGCCTCTCTGCAGGAGGAATCTTGGAAGGGAGGTAGGAGGTTTTCCCCAGGGGCTGAAGTGAGGTTCTGGGAGCTGGTGGGTGGGGAATGGAGAGTGTTTTGGGAAAAAAACTTATTGTAATTGAATGTGTGTAGTGGTTGGGGTTAATGGAAGGGTTTGCTTGTGTCAGGGTTTCAGGCAGAGAGGGGGTGCTTGGACGAAGAGAGTTGGAGTTCTCAGCTTTTGGGGTAATCTATGGGGAATCCTCTCTGTGGCCTGCTTGTTTATTGTAAGCCTCTTTGAGCCTTTTAGATAGAATAGGATAGATAAATCACAAAAAAACCCCAAAAAACTTGATTTATTAATGAATCCTTGTATGACTCCATCAAGATTGGTTTTCACTGAGCATTCAGATCGGTACAATAATCTGTACTTGATAAATCAAGAGAAACAACATTACAATAGGGATTAATTGATCCCAGTGTATTCATATGCATTTTCTGTGCTTGTTCACAAACTAAAGAAATAATAATATTATCTAACAAGAGGCTAAATAGTTATTTCTTGGGGCCTTGTTACACATTACATGGTAAGCTGCTCATATGTTGATGGGTGTTATTGCTAGCTCAAGGTTGGAGCAGTCACACATTCCCTAGACAAGGGAGAGGAGATTGCTGCCATATATCTTGACTTAAAAAAAGCCTTAGATCTGGTATCCCGTGATCACCTCTTGGCAAAACTGGCCAACTGTGGCCTCAGGTCCACCTCGATCTGCTGGCTGGGGGATTGGCTTCGTGGTTGGACCCAGAGAGTGGTGGTTGACAGAAGTCAATCGGCGTTGTGCCCTGTGACCAGTGGGGTCTCTCAAGGCTCTGTCCTTGGACCTATATTATTCAACATATTAATCAATGACATGGACATTGGAGTCAAAAGCGGACAGGCCAAGTTCGCTGATGACACCAAACTTTGGGGCAAAACTTCCACACCTGAGGACAGGAGGGCGATCCAGGCTGACCTTGACAGGCTCATGAAATGGGTGGATGAGAACCTGATGGTGTTTAACACTGAAAAAATGCAAGGTTCTCCACCTTGGGAGGAAAAACCTGCAGCATGCTTATAGGCTCGGCAGTGCTACACTGGCTAGGACTATGGAAGAAAGAGACTTGGGGGTCATCATTGACCACAAGATGAACATTAGCCTGCAATGTGGTGCTGCGGCTAGTAAAGCGAGCAAAATGCTGGCTTGCGTCCATAGATGCTTCTCAAGCAAATCCCAGGATGTCATTCTCCCATTGTACTCGGCCTTGGTGAGGCTGCAGCTGTAGTACTACGTCCAGTTTTGGGCTACACAATTAAAAAAGAATGTGGAGAAGCTCAAGAGAGTCCAGAGAAGAGCCACACGCATGATCAGAAGTCAGGAAAATAGACCTTACGACGACAGGTTGAGAGCTGTGGGACTCTTCAGCCTGGAAAAGCGTAGGCTCAGGGGTGATCTGATGGCTGCCTATAAGTTTATAAGGGTTTCTCACTAGGATCTGGGGGTGGATCCTAAGGGATGATGAGTTTGAACGGTCATAAACTCCTCCAAGACTGTTTCAGGCTGGACATGAGGAAGAACTTCTTTACTGTCCAAGCCCCCAAGGTCTGTAATAGTCTGCCACTGGACGTGGTTCAAGCATCTACTTTGAACACCTTCAAGAGACATTTGGATGTTTATCTTGCTGGGATCCTATGACCCCTGCTGACTTCCTGCCCCTGGGGCAGGGGGCTGGACTCAATGATCTTCCGAGGTCCCTTCCAACCCTAATGTCTATGAAATCTATGAAATGTATTTAGGCCAGCAGGGGCCTAGAGGACTAAAAGGTAAGAATCCACCCCCTTCCCATTCTGGGCTTCCTCTTAGCCCTTGCAGCTCCCCTTGCCCCTGTTACCCACCCCCAGGACTCCCTCTTTTCCCCCATGGTTCTCCCTGGGCTTCCTCCTCCCCCCCAACCCCTGCTCACTGCC